AATAATTGTATACTTTCAAATGCAGAAATGAACGATAAACATCTCACAAAACACGTATTTAAAGAGACAGAAACTGGAAATTAAATGGAATGTAAGAAAGTTATGTTTCACATCAATGTGTTCAGAAGGGTGCCAGAGCGGTGCCCTGGCTTGACCACAGCCGAACTTATGAGTATGTAAAGTGTACAATGCAGTAACCGTGCACATGTGCTCATGGCCAAGAATCATGATTCATGCGTGAACTGCGCAGACCCTGCAAAATGTTGACAGATGCAGATGAAATCATAAAAGAAACAGTGGCACAGTTCTTGCATTGCTCCAGACTTCTGTGGACAGAGACAACCTGCTTGCCATTCATTAGTACAATCCACATGAGGAAAGGTCTGTTACTGTCATTTCATACATGATCTTACATAATGTGTCTGAAAAAGAAAGGGAGGTTCAGTCTCAAAATACACAAAAGGCATCACTGCACCTTTGCATTCCTCCACTTAAACAGTTTCACAAGCAGCCTTCACATTGTACTGTTATGTTCCCCTACTCCCCAGTTTAGTATTATGTGGCTATGTAACGAGTTACGTTTATATGGACAAAATTCAAGACCTGTTTCATTTTGAAGCAAGAGTGAAGCCACTGTACAGATAATAAGATATGCACTACAGCATGCATGTCTAGAAGTGAGTATCAAATGGACATATGCAGGTTCACAAACGCTGCACATGTGGGAATGTTCAAATTATATTAAAACGATTTGAGGTACACTTTAAAATAAATCCTTATTTCTTGAAAATATTTATAGTTTTTCTAATATTGGTTCTCAAAACAATACCATTATTTTTTGAACATCCTGTACAAGATGCTATAAAACTGACAAATTCAGCTTTGTAAAAATTACACATAAAAATGTTTACAAAGTAACCATCTCCCACTTCAAGCATTATATCCAAGATGAACTATTAAATATCACTGTGCTATAAAATCCAGAGATGGTGGAAGTATGTAGTTTCCTTATATAATGCCTGCATTGTTTCCTTAGCACATGTTATCCTCTATACCATAAGTGACTACTGCTCCATGTTGGTTATCATTACTGAATCTATCACAAAACCAATTTAAGTTTGATATGAAATACAGCCTACAGTCTTGTGTCACCTTGGATAAAATTTCAGTACAGCCCAAAATATGGGGGATGAGGAGAAACTTTCACCTCAAGGAGAGTCACTGATGGGCCCAAGAGCTGAAGATGTGGTGAAGAATGAAGTTACTGCACAACAGTTACAGTTCACAACCTGTCACTTTCCTTTGTATCCCTGTGCACCTACCAATGCCTAACCCCCAAGATATACAATCCACAGCCTGTGTAGGTCTCAGCGATCCTTATACATCTGACAGGTCTGTGAATACAAATATTATGTTTCTGGACATTATCCATTGTCCTGTTTTTTTATTTAACATACAACGTTTCAGAGACTGGATTCTGTCTCTGTCTTCAGGTAAAAACCTAGGTCCAGTGATTGGAGTTGCTCTATCAATTGGGCCCAAATGAGTAAGTTTTACCTGAAGACAGACACAGCATCCAGTCTCAAAAATATTGTGTTTTAAATTAAGAAAACAGGATGATGGATAATTTTCAACATACTAATTATATTAATATACCATTGTCACAAGCCTTTAGGTCTGTGAATGTTAAGCTGGGCTTGGCAAAATGTGATTTGTGGTTTTCCTGTTGACTGGGAGGACTTTTTACTAATAATTTCTAGAAGTTTCTGAAATCTTACGAATAACAAAAAGCATCCAAATCCCAGAAAAGCAGCTTCCTGCTTAATATCCTTCTTCAGTTCTACTTATGTGAATCAACTCCCTTGGCTAAATATCATCATGTCAAAATATTGTTTCTGCCTCACTGACAACCACTTGGACCCATGTTTAAGGTTAGGAGTTAACAATTATATGCTGGTACTGAAATTCACAAAATTAGTGGACTCGATGCAGTGTATTATCTCCTCTATCTTCTTAATTCAATATGCATTTCATTGGCACAGGACTGTATTTTGAAAATATTCTTTAATTTTCACATTAGTAAAATTTCATATTAGAGCCTATATACAAGCTGGCGTAAATTTTGAAATATAAATTACTATTTGAGCTTCATGTTGCACTTAACCTATGGAACCTGCATATTCAAAACTTATTACCTACTAGGAAAACCTACATTAAATTAAATAATAAGTGAACCACAGAATTCTAGGCAATTTGAAAGTTATCATCTGCCATGCAAAAGTTTGCCCAAACCTGATGTATGGACGTTTCATTATAGACAAAATCACATATTACAGTATAAAATCATGCTAGTTCAAAATGCAGAGCATAAAAGGTTATGGACTTTGAATCAAATGAGTGGGTACTGTTTATTTTCACTGTGAACATCATGTACTGGCAGTCAAGAAGACAGCAAATACAAACATTGAAGAGAAGTGCATTCTGCAGGCAAATACAACATTATGCAGGACTAAGAATATTCTGAATATATTTAATGATCCTAAATTAGTAGCAGTAAGGTTATGTAACATTATAATGCACAGAACTGGTATATCATTTTATATAACACAGTTTAAAAGCAAAAGGTAATATGGAACATCAGCAACAGCTGCCTACTAGTTCAATACTGGAATTTTTCAGAATGAAGTGCGACTGAGTTAATCTTATTAAACACTTGGGGGCAAATCTCTTCTCAGTTTGGCTTCAACATTTGAAAACAAGGAAGGTAAAGTATTTAGATTTTATAATATATGGGGCTACCATATTTTAGTTATTGCTCTGTTTCCTACTGCAGACCTCACAAAAACATCCACAGATATGAAAATTTACTCTACTCTTGTCAGTGTGTACAGTAGCCATGGCTGTTAAAGCTATGTGCAAGTATTGCATGTGATCCAAATCCTCATTCCAATCTTCCTTCCTTAGTTACATAAGTAAAATTTAAATTCTTAATTTTAATGTCATTCATTCTATATACTATGATACTAATAAGGAAATAAATCATATCAGGGGCAAAAAATGGGCACTTCTGTTTGACACAATTTACAATGAATCACAACAGTTTTGTCTGCAACAGATTATATTCTAATTGTGACATGAATTTACTGAAGTCAGTCACACAGAGAATGCATCTCATAAAATATTTGGAAACTTCATTAGTACTCACTGGAAAATACCATCTTTCTTCCTTACTAACTGGCACACAATAATGAACCTATTTTATACCTTACTCTCTCAGAGTTTGTATTTTATGGGGAGATCTTGAAGCAACTGAATGACAAATGTTAGAGAGAAGGCAAAATACAGAGGTGACATGTAATGAGCCACTTTTGACACTTGCTTTCACAAATACTGCTATCAGAGACAATGACTGTATTAATCAGCAGTCTCTATATACTTTTCTCATAACCTGAAGAGTTTGTTACTTCTACGGATTCATTGCTTTATTCATCAGTGAAAAACATTTTAATGTTTTAGCTATTCATGAGTCCCAGATTTTGTAGCCATTTTACACAAATAATTTATCTTTCAGTCTTTACTTGCAAAAAAAAATAGGTTAACATGAACTCAGGTAAGGTGAAATTATGCAAGTCAGAAAAACCTCTATAATATGCTCTAACAGACTACACACAGGCAGTCAAATTTCCTTTCACACAATACAAGTTCAATCACAACTTGAGGAGGCAAAACGTCAAATAGGAGCATGAAAATGAAATTATCAGACTGTAAGCAGTAAGGTTAAAAAAATGCACATTTGAAGAGAAAGCAAGAAGTGTACAACATATTTCACTTAATGGTAAATAATCAATAAAAAGAATAAAAACAAACGTGTCACATGAATATGAAAATGTTACTGAGATATTCGTTGCACCATAGAAATGAACATAACATTTAACTATGATGAAGTCAACATCTTGGCAAGAACATGTGATATAGGAAACAATAAATGGGAGAGAAAGTGGATGTTAGGTAAATAGAATACATTTGAAACAACACTCTAAGTAGGCAACTTGTTGCTGCAGAGCCTGGAGGGATTATGAAAAGTATCAGCAGCTGCCTTGAAGTGTAACAGGAATGATCTTGTAATTAAGATAAAGCATGGACATTGGGTCTCTGAGGCCTGGATTACACAGCTCCCATAACCCATCCAAAAGTCATGTTTACTTGTGTCTACTAGTAACAATGTTCTAACTAAAAGAAACTCCATAATAGAAACATTTCAAGATATACATCCAAGTAAGTATCTTAGATTCAAAATACATTTAAAACAATTTGAATAAAAATAAACATTTCTCAGATATAAGATTCTCACAGAGTGATTATGTGGGATATAATGGCCTGAAGTTTGGCAGATTGCTGCCAACAGTTTGTGGACACTTACAGCTTCAATTTTCAGGGTAGAGAATGCTTGTACCCTGAAGATGGATGTAGCAGGTGTCTTCAAAATGCTGATATACAGCTACCAAACCATACAGTGTTACATTCCAGAAAACAATAACCTTCAAGCAGGTACATTATTCACATTAAAAAAAAAGGCAAGTTCATACCCTTTCAGTGCTTGCCTCTAAAAGAGGGAAATGCCATCAAATTTTTAATTAATAATATTGTTACATGACACATGAAGGCCAGAATAGTGGAGCCAGAGGAAACATCCACTGCCAGGCAATAGCTCAGTAAATACTTTCTAAGGCAATGGATGCATACATACATACATAGATTAATTAAAGTGTTATAATTATTTGTAGTTACAAGTCATAAGTGTACAATAAATTTATTAATTAATCCAAACATAGTGTCTGGTCACTAACCTGTGACACAAATAAAAGTCACAATTCTGATGATAAATATTCATAAATAGTAATGGTAGATACATCTTATGAATGTTTGTGAATTAATTTATATGATCTGTATGTTTTGTTTAATATGGTACTGCATCTGACTGTGGCAACAACAGCAGGAAAAATATGGGCAATCAGCCTTACTGATGCTGATACTTGATTTAACTGTCTTAACCACATATCCTATCAATCTGTGAGGATTAAAGACAAGTAGTGGCATACTGGTAATGTTAACTGAAGAGCAATGCTGAAGTCTGGTCATGGTATTGGCCGAACTGACTAAACCCCTCAATAGCAGAGGTATTTCTTTATTTTTAAACAGTTTTTGGTCGAGAGACTATAATGACTTCTTCATAAGGGCAAGAAAATTTAACATGTATGAATTATATTACACATTCTTACAGTCATATGGCTTACAGCTACTATTTACACACTACTCATATATGAATAAAAAAATATTAATTCGTTGCAGAATATTGGTGCAAGGTACAAAACAAATCACCAAGTTGAAGACAGAGTATTAGTGTTTAAGATGCAATGGCATTCATCACAGCATTAATGCTAGTATTAAATTATTCTTTAAAAATGTCCATCAATCTATTATCCAAGATTACAATACAGGAAGAAAAAAGATGAAAACATAAACAGATCCATTTAATATATATTAGACAATGCACTATAAACAAAGCTAACAGTGCAAAATGGAAGAACAAGAATTTACACTTGCAGACAAATCCATGAAACTCAATATCTGATTCAGCCTGCAACATATATGCAATGGAACAATTTTATTGCCCAGTTTGATTTTAAACCATTACAAGAGTGTTAGAAAGTTCATCTTTACAATTTTTGGCCAGGTACCACAGATATAAGATATCTGTGAAGCAGTGTCAAATTGTTATGACTGACCTTAGTGATCACCACACATAATCTTATGTTATGTCTGATATTAAGCACACATTTTACAGTTCCATACTTAGGATGTAATTTTAGAAAGTGGCACAGCTTTCTTTGTTCTGCTTACATTTATTGTTTTGTTAAGTTTATTCCCTTATTCTGGTTTAACTGCTTCCTGTTGTCCTTTGTTTTTGAATCTTAAGAATATTACACTTGGTTGAGTAGAGTCCTTATTCAGGAATAAACCCAGATGTGCAAGTAAATGGCATGTTAACATCTTGATTCAACCATGAACTGTGGTGTCAGATTTTTCACCTATTCTTACAATGATCTGTTTACTGGCCCTAGCACCACAGAACCATAGTGCAGACTCTACTTTGGAAGGCAAACATTTAGGCTGACACACAAATCAAAATGCAGATTATTTCTTATAACTAAATACACTTGTTTAAATGCAATGATAAACAAATACAGACAGAGAAAAGTCTATATTTACTTTCTTTTTCTTCATGCTGAGACCTTAACAGCATGAGTTTGTGTATCAAATTCTCATCCTTACAGACCCTTACATCTAGGTAATCGGTGTTTCTCAATCACAGGCTGTGAGGAAGCTGAGGGTTTGCATCTCCCCACAAGATGGTCCCATGAGATGAGAGGGAAAGGGGGCAGGAAGAGGTTGAGAAATTCTGTACTACACACATCACATATATTTTGTATGCAGAACAGGATATAAAACACTTTGTAGTGAGGAAAGTAGGTTTGCAAATCTTGGCATTCTGTAAGAGTTAGCAGTTTAAGCAACACTGATGCTGTCTTCAAAGAATACAGAGTACCTGTTTCCCAGTAAACTTGAAAAACATTGTCCATGTTAACCTTGCAATGCTGCACATGAAAGTTTCAGCTTACTACACACACATACACGCGCAATCAATAGTGGGAAACCGGTTTTTTCCACATGAGCACTGGTTTTGCAATTGCCATGCTGTGTGAGTATCAATACAAACCAATGTTAACCTTGGCTGTTAGTCTGCATTATTAAGCAAAGTACGACCATCCTTCCTGCACCATGGAGAAGCGATAACGCTCATTTATCACTGAAGCTTGTCACAGGAAGTAATGCGGTGGGCGAACAGTGAATCCTATATGTGGGTGACGTGGCGGGAATTGTGATCCCAGAAGTCTCTGCTGTTGCTGCAGTGCTGCCAATCCTCCCCCACGTGGGTCGCCGGGGTACATTGCATATGTAGGTAGCATATGCGGTCCCTGTCAGATTGAGGCTCATTAGAACAGAACTCACACCATCATCAAAATTATCCTGGATTTATCACCCCAAAAAGTAAAGGGAATCATTCCCAGGTATCTATCATTGATAAAATATTGAAATAATTTTACATCTCAAAGTACACTTGTCAAAAGTTGTTACTGCTGTTATTCAACTAATCCAAACCTCACCCACCTAGAAAAAGCAAGATACTTTAGGAAGACATTATTTATTTGTGACTTGGAACATTCTTTTTTTAAAATAAAATGTATCACAAGAACAGTTTGACAAAGCAATTCATACAACTCATGCTACTATTATTACATTGCAGCAGTGAGGGGGAAATACAGATTTTATATTTTGAGTAAAATTTTTTCTATGCAACTAGGAGTTTTTAAGATCTGACCTTCTCATGGCAATGCCTAAGAACATATGGAACATACAGCATAGCGCCAAATGATAGGATCACAGATGAACTGGACTGATGAACAGATGAACTGAGAGAGAGAGAGAGAGAGAAAGAGAGAGAGAGAGAGAGGAAAACCATCAAACCCCTCAGTCAGGACAGCTGGTGTCCTGCTCAAGGTTCAAACCATGCACTTCCTGAATACAAGTATACAGCATTATCTCTAGATCAACATATTCAGATGCTCATGATACAACTTTTTTTCTACTGGTTAGATTATCCAAATTTATGGAACCTAAATGCATTTTACAGAAGTGTTCACAATTAAAATAAAGAAAATTAGGAAACAGAATGTTAAAGTCAATAATAAACTGAAAATATTAATACAGGAATGTTATTTGTTACAGGCTATTTGATTCCAGAGAAAGCCATTCCTTATTAGAAGAAATATAACTTAGAATGGAATTACTTAGAAAAATAGAGAAGTCTGGAGCTTAGTTATAATAAAGAATGATGTGATTCTTGCATATTTAGACTATAAAATGATTTCTATTCAAAAACAGCTTGTGGGAAAGGCATTAATAATTAAGGAAACTCCAAGAAAATGTATATTTATAACTGAATCTACACATTGCATTATTAAAGCAATGTTATGCTCAGGAAATAATGATGTCAACCAAATCGGTGAAGAAGTTCCTACCAGTCATGACACACAAATTATATGCTTCCAAACTGGTACTGAAATGGTCCATATGGACATCTTATGTGCATGTTTTGAAAAGGAAATAATCCTAGCAAATTTTTATAAACTATGTCATGTTCCATGAGAAATACTAACTACACTTCACATATTCACATCAAAATATTAACATTACATATAGAACAGACATGATGCACTGAAACAAAGACTGCTCATCTGTCACCTGTTACATAACTTATGTTTATGTAACAATCAAAGTAATTCCTGAGCTGACAATGTGCACTCCTGTTAATGGATACCAATGGTTCAAGGGAACATGATGCCTTATTTTAAGGGATGAAATTACTCGACTCTGAATGAGACAGTACATTCCTTCAAACATTGGTATCCATCTATAAGACTGCATATTGTCACAAACAAGAACTGGGTGAGAGAGGGTCTTCAAACAGGGTGCTGAGGAGAATATTTGAACCTAAGATGATGTATCATGAGCTTTATAATTTGTACTCTTCATTGAATATTTTGACAGTCAAATCATGAAGGACGAGATGGGATAGACAGCACATATAGCAGATACAAGAAATGCACACAAAGTTTTCATTGGAAATCCTTGAAGGGCAAAATCCACTTGTAAGGACTAAGGCTTAAGAAGGGAAAACAGTATTAAATTGGATTTTAAAGAAACAGAGTAGGATGTTGTGAACTCAGTTTGACTCAAAACAGAGACCAGTGGCGGCTCTTGTGAACCTTTCTAAAAACTTACAAAACTCTAAATAAAAAAAAATTCAAACCTTTCCATCACAAAACCTGAAGGTAGCAGATGAATAATAAGAGATGGGATATTTACAAACATGTTGGAGTGGAATGGCAAGAACATACAGTGTGTGGGAGGACACAAATGTATGGTGGATACTTTGCTGCATGATATCCCAAAACTATTTCAAGGGCACAGAGGATATATTTCCCAGCTACTATAGCTGTTAGTCACTGGGTTTCAACAAGAGTGTTAATGATATTTGTACTAAAAAATGTGACAACAGTCCAGCCGAACTGCACACATGCGTTGTTAGAGTAGCGTGGCACATGGGTGATACAGGTTAAAACATGAATGACAAAAGATGGTGGTGCCAACATACAAGTAAATATACTACTGCCACACAACATAAGTCAGGCCTAACACACACTACTGCCAACAGAGTCATCTGCAACTTGTCAGTTATCCATGTCAGGCTCTGATGTTCATTATTTAAAATGGATTACATCAAATATCTAACAGCAAGATTCAGGTTTCTTTGATTTGATATTTTCACAGTGATGACTATCCACTGAAAGTCAATCTATGTTCCAGAGGAACATGTCGTCTCTATCTTCAACATCAAAGAATAAGGCAGGCAAGAAACTAGAATGAAGAAGGTAGCAAGGAGAGCAGTTTCCCTTCAAAAACAGCAAGGTGTTATACCCCAGAAGATGGGAATCTTCACAACCACCACTAAGAGAACTTCAAATCCTATTATTTGCTACCCATAGTTATATTATGACTGCGTTGCATGCCTATCTTCATATTGTCATATGTAGGGTGGTGCGCATGATTAAAATGATGGGATCTAGTTCAGTTGATTGGATTTATTAGCCCTTTGGTTTCAACTTCTACACCCGTCCCCACACGCTTTAATTCCACGCGGTGTATGCCTCGACTAAATTCAGTGGAATGAGTCTTATATCGCAGGGGTACACGGGTGTTGGCTCGCTTACGTCATTTTTTTTTTTGGATGCGGGCTCGATCGGTTAACCCCCTAGCACAGGTTCCACAGGAACACCCTCACTCCCCGGCTTCTACTCACTAACTAACTCCTTATTCCCGCTGCTGCTTCCAGAAACCACGTTCTTAGCCATCTTGAACTTTCCACTGGGGGGCTTCATAACCAAATGCACGGACCCCTTCCGGTCTGCACACCTTCTAGAAGTTTCGATCCACAGGTCCTCCACCCCCACAGGCACGGACGAAAGGAGGTATACCTACACCCCCCCCGAATGCAATGGACTCATCAACCTCCCTTCTGTCCCTCGTAACAAAAGGCCAGTTCAGAGGACCATGAACCCTCCGGGGCATCTCACTTCCACAGCCAAACCCAATCGCTAAGCATAAACAGATAAGATACCTCCGTGAAGGGTGCGTACGGTTACAGTTCTCTCTTAATCACATTTAATACAGTGCTATCGCTGTGTCCACAATTACACACATGTACTAGGATTCTCTGTTTCCACTAGTCATCTCCTTGCAACAGATACCAACACAGAAACTATCACTTCAAATCACACTTTAAATCTTCACAAGTCAACAAACTTTCTGTGGCTGTCTCCTACTGAGAACTCAGAACACTGTGACCCACTTATACAGGCACGGGACCAACATCAACCAACAGTAAACACACAATACATGACCCCTACCTACTGTTGCTGTGTGACATCACTGCTCCTGCACCAGCTGCCGAACACACAAAAAACACAGCTTCCTCTACTGCTGCCTGTGTGTATCATATTTACAGAGCTGTTGCCTGGCAATGCATTGATCAAATATGCCACATTATATTCAATTCTATCTGTATTTGAGATTTAAAGTTCTCATGCCAGTTAATATGAAGGATACTATTTTCTGAGATGTGTTGCTGTGTAGTATTGCAGAAGTTTGCTGACCTTTTGGAAGAATTTATTGCCTTCATCTTCTGGGTCAAAGCCAAGCCAGCAGCAGTCACTCCACTTGCTGCTTGGCTTACTTATTGATCCTGAAGATGGAGGCACCTCATAAACTTTTACAAGACTACTTGGTATCACATCACATACTATATTGTAGATAAATTCTATGCTAGTCGAAGAATATTTGTGTCATTAATTAGTTCAAAAGAGTTCTGACAATGGTATGTTACATCTGGGATTACTGAGTTTATGAACTTCGTCCACCATTTTCTCTTCTGAAGTAATGCTGGACAATGGACTTTCTTTCCAGAAACTCAGTCTTCTTCACGGTAACTGCATCCTCACCTAAGGAGCTACTGCTATTGCTAAAATGAATACACAATTTAGGCGTTCACATCACATTGGTTTTATACTGCAAACATCATTTTAGGAACAAAGCTTGAAGCTAACACAGTGGCTGGTCTTTTTCACATCAGACGATGAAAGTGCTGAAAATCTTGATGTTGGATCCTTCTTGTAGGATGAATGTTTATCTGAAGTCCTTACTGCATTCCACAGCCTTCCATTTTTCTTACATTTGCTTTTGTAATTAGATTCTTGGCACAAACAAAAGTGAACAATGCTTCCTTCCTATAAGCAGATTTCATATATTCCATCTTGGAGGTCCCTTATCTTACATTTTCAGCAGTTGGCAGTGACATAATTCTTTTCATCAAAAAGATTCTCAATCACAAAAAATAACTGTCTAGTTAGAATCCAATGGTGTATGTTGGGATAGCCATTTCTCCATCTCCAAACATCTGTTATGAGATAGATTTCTCTCTCTCTGTATAAAGAATCAGCAGTTTTTACAAATGTTATGTTGGTACTCCATGTTATATGAGATAATTTCATCAAAAGGGCAATACACCTGCTATGGAAATGAAGATGCATCGCTGTCAGTTAATGATGAAAACTACGGATGTTATCAGAAAGTTACTAGATCATACTTTCAACATACTTCCAGTATTCACATGCCCGATAGGAACTGAAACATACCGACATAGGATTTTTCATCCATAAGGCACAACATAACCTGGTTAGTACAGAAGACCAATGAATTGAGAAAATAATGAAGGTGAAGCTATTCCTGTAACAGGTCATGGAGGCCCATAGGGTTGCGACACATTGAGGCTCCCACATTTTCTAGATGAGTGGCTCCT